TCTGCAATATAATATCATTTGAGTTTGGAAAATGCATATGCATATCATGCACTCACCAAACACAATAAACTCATGAAGCTCTTATTCTTGATCTAATGGGAGTGTTCTTGATCTAATGAGAGATAAGATAGGTGGAGATCGTATGAGGCCAGCTGTAACTCGCTTTGCTACTTCATTTCTCACATTGGCAAGCATGCATAAGCTCAGGAATGGATTGAGGAATTTAATTGCTAGTGATGAATGGCATCCTTGCAGCATCTCTACCTCTCAAGAAGGCTGGCAAGTTGAGAACATTGTCCTTTCAATGCCATTTTAGAATAAATTGGAATGCCTAAGAGCTTCACAGCCACTTCTTGTTGCTCTAAGGATAGCAGATGGAGATGAGACACCAGCTGCTCCTGAGATTATGGCAGCCATGGATGTTGCAAAGACCACAATCAAGGATTCTTTGAAAGACAAACCAAGTTTACTTAAAGAGGTACTTGAATACTGACAAGAGATGGGAAAACCAAATAGAGCAAAAGCTGTATGGGGCAGCCCTATTCTTGAATCCAAGCAAGTACTTTGCCATAAGGGAAAAAGATAGGAGACAAGCAACAAGGCTGAGAATCATGTTTAATGAAGTTATGTGGAAGATGGTGAGTGATGATTGGGGACAGAACAAGATAAGTAAGCAAGCCAATGACTATGAGAGGGCTGAAGGCAACCTTCTCAAAGCAAGGAGCAATAAGAGAGAGAGAGAGAGAGAGAGAGAGAGAAATCCTAGTAAGTTCTGTATAACTATTTCCTTCCCTTTTTCGCAAAGCAATGAACTACCAACTTTTTTGTTTTTCAGCCCTTTTTTTTGAAAGATTTTCATAAATACGCCCCTGGCAGTATCCTTTCAAAAAATAGACTCTGACCTCGGCGCCGTGACAATTGGCGCCGAGCTTACACGTCTCGGCGCCAATTGCTTTGGCGCCGAGGTCCAGGGTCATTTTCTGCGTGTCGTTGACGTGGCATGAGCTCGGCGCCGTGGATCTTCGCGCCGAGCTCGGCACTGTGGATCTAGGCGCGGAGCTCGACGCCAATTACTACGGCGCCGAGCTATGGAAATTGATAAATTTTAATTTTTACCATGACTTGGATATTGAGAAATGTGGCTAACTCTAGATTTTTTACAGTGACTTGTTGTTTGATCACTTAAAACAGTCTAGAAATACTTAAGTATTTCTAGATTGTAGTTCCATTTGGTCAGGCAAATTTTTTATCTTAAGTATTTCTAGATTGTTTTAAGTGATCAAACAGCAAGTCACTGTAAAAACTCTAGTGTTAGCCACATTTCTCAATATCCAACCTGGACAACATCCATGAGTTCTTTTCTGCCATCTCGTGTCTCAACCATCTGGAGTCCTTGTCAGTGCGACTCGATAAGAACATGGATGATCTGTTTCCTTCTCTGGATGACACAATTGCTCGGCCGCCAAAGACCCTCAGTTATTGCTTTAAGCTGCACGGGCATATACGCATACTACCATCATGCAGCTGGATCAAGGAGTTTGTCAACGTCCAAAACTTGGACCTTGAGGTAACCTTACAGGAACAACATGACATGCAGGTCATCCTGGATCATTTAGTACATCGTACCAATGGGCCCATGAAACGTCTCTGTATCAAGCCAGTTCAAGATGCTGCGCTCTGTATAGGCATTAATGATGAGCGGAAGTTCGCTGGGTTACGACTTGAGGTCCTTGAAATTGTTTGCACCACAAACTTACAGGCAACTATTGGAAATATACTAGGTGTTCATGTACTAAGGGTTGAGTGCTCTAGTGCCTCTTTGCATCTTTCTGGGCTGCAAGGGATTCCGTACCTCAAGGAAGTGTGGCTTAAGGGCTCCTGCAGCGACGAACTCAAAGAAGACTTGCAGCGCCAACTTGCCCAGCGTAAAGGTAAATATAAACCTGTCCTCAAGGTCCTTCAGCCACCCCCGCTCTGACATGATATCCTCGCCAACCAGGAGGCCTCTCAATGTTTTCCAATAAAAAATAACTATTTCTCGGCTTCGTGCTTTAGTTTGTGGGTTTTCTTTCTACAGATATCCGCAAATTGGTCTGTTTGTTGCTATGCTTTATATTTTTAATAATCTATCTTTATCTACTCAGTAAGCAGTTGGAGATGTTCAACTCTTAGTGTGTATTATATCTATGTTCAACTCTTAGATGTTCAACTCATGTACGCTGTCTAGGTTAGATATTGAGAAATGTGGCTAACACCTGTTTGATCACTTAAAACAATCTAGAAATACTTAAGATAAAAAATTTACCTAACCAAATGGAACTACAGCACGTCCAGGCGACACAGTACAGAGCTCGGCTCCTGCAGTACAGCAGGGCGATGCAGGGCTCGGCTCTATGCATCTATTGCATTGCTAACCGAAGATGCATCGGTGCATGCAACGAACCGTACGTGCATGTGTAGGCATGCAAGCACGGATGCAACACACCTCACCTGTAAGCACATGACATGTAAGCACGTGAAAATATGGCTAAGTCTAGAATTTATGACCGTGGCTAAGTCTGATCTTTTACCATGGCTAAGTCCAAACTTGACGAGACTTGTTTTGTTGTCATCTCCTCCGAGAGTATTCAAACTCGTAGTACGGTATCAAATTGAGTTGCTATACAAATTTGGACGATAAAATATCGCAAACATGTCAATTCACTACCGGCGATAAGGGAATTAGAAAGATTTAGAGGGGTCAAAACAGCGTCACAATTCGGCCATGTTAAAGACTGATTTAGGTTTAAGTCCAAAAGCAAAGTTTGTTGTACTCAACTCAAACTACAACTTCTATTAAAGGTCAAACTTCATATCTAGAAAAGAAACTATAGTTTTACCCTGGTTAAAACAGCATCATGAAAAAAGGAGTTAACTATTGATCCAACACTTAGAAGCATTTTTAGGCTAGTTCATGAACATAAACCCTAGATCATTTTTTATCTTAAGTATTTCTAGACTGTTTTAAGTGATCAAACAACAAGTCACAGTAAAAAATCTAGAGTTAGCCACATTTCTTAATATCCAAGTCATGGTAAAAATTAAAATTTATCGATTTCCATAGCTCGGCGCCAAGATCCACGGCGCCGGGCTCATGCCACGTCCGCGCCACGCAAGTAGCCACGTCAACGACACGCAGAAAATGACCCTGGACCTCGGCGCCAAAGCAATTGGCACCGAGACGTGTAAGCTCGGCGCTAATTGTCATGGTGCCGAGGTCAGGGTCTATTTTTTGAAAGGATACTGCCAGGGGCGTATTTGTGAAAATCTTTCAAAAAAAGGGCTGAAAAACAAAAAATTCGGCAATGAACTAATAATGGAATTGTATGTTTGGAATACAAATTACAGTTCTTTGGTGGGGTGCATATGATGGCCTGACATATGAGCTCCAATGTTTAGCAAAAAGAATTGTTAGCCTTTGTTGCGCTGCATCTTGATGCGAGCGTAATTGGAATGGATTTTCTCATGTAAGTACTACTGCTAAGTAATTGGAGTTTGGTAGCAATATTCCTTGCATGGTATGGGATTCTACAATGTATTTTGTGTAGGTCCATACAAAAGAAAAGAAATCTGTTAGAGCATCAAAGGTTAAATAAGTTGGTATATTGTCAGCTACAAGCGGAAGATGGAAAACAGATTTAAAAAAAAATAGGGAGCTGGGTTCGAAAGGAAAGAAATGCAATCCACTCTTGCTTGAAGAATTTCATTGGGAAAATGACTAGGTCGATGAAAATTGTGAACCAGTTCATGAAGATGGTGGTAATGCTATGACTTGGGCTAATGTGGATGATGCTATTGGTGCAACTCAGAGTCTACAGGGACACAACTTGCCTAGGGCTGCTGCTGCTGCTCGTGCTGCTGTTGCTGCCCCTGTGAGGCATACTTATGCTAGGAACAGGAAGCATCCAAAGAAGATAGTGGCTCAAGATACTGATGAAGAAGATGACGATGAAGACCAAGATCAGCTTGTAGAATCTGATTCAGCAACAGCAATGGAGGATGAAGAATCTATTGATACTGCTGATGGATCTGCACCAACTGCAACTGGAGATGGACATGGAGGCTTCTGTTTGAATGATGATTTGCTTAATTAGATGGCTAGTTGCCTACTTGTGTTGGACTATTTAATGTTAATGTTTGTGTCACTTGAACTTATTTAGGTGGCTAGCAGGCTGCTTATCAGCCTATGTAGTATGTACTGAAGTACTGAACTAGTTTGGGTATGTAATATGCTGGCTGTGTGGCTGTTATGGTCTGCTAAATGCTAGTTATTTGCTAAATGCTGCAGTGCTACTGTTGAGCTGCTCTACTTATAAGTTATTCAAGATCAATACTACAGCAGTGTTGCTAATTATGGTCTTCTTTGGTATTCCAGCAGCAAGTCAGCAAAGAAATGGAGTTTGGGACAGGAATATGGAGTTCTGGACAGTGCAGAAAACAACTCTCACAAGTAAGTCACCAGCTAAACACTAATGTAGTCTTGATGCTTGCTTTATTGTGTATACTTATATAGTATATATAGGTATATATATAGTAGGTATATGTCCTGATATATAGGACGACTAGGATCGACTAATAGGCCTAGTCCATGACTAATCGTGATTAATCGCCTGGTCAGTCCCATGGCGACTAGGTTTGACTATACGATTTGTAAACATTGGGTGTTTCCATCTGAGATGCATGTGCATGATATGACCATGTTTGTTTTAGAAAGGTACTACGGCAAAATTTGAATACACGGTTCAGAATAAAGTAATCAAATAATTAACAAGACTGATAAGACCAGAATCTTTATAATCTTCTACAATATTTAATCTGCAATCTATATCATTTGAGTTTGGAAAATGCATATCATGCACTCACCAAACATAATAAACTCATGAAGCTCGCAACGAGGGTCAAAAACTGAGAAATCAGTGCATTATTGATTCATAACAACAAATTGACATGAGTTAAGAACCTTACTTAAAGATAGGTTTTGGCCAATGCTTTCCAATGCACAGCTCAGTAAGTTTCTGTTTACACTCCCTGAGCTCTCCAATCTCATCAACCAATCCATTGGCAACGCCATTGATCAACACTTGCTGCTTTGCACCACCGATAAGCTTGCCCAATGCATCTCGTGCAGCATTGAGCTTAGCAATTACCTTCTGCTCCGAGGAGCCAAGTCCAACCATCTCCCCACCAACAAATACATTTACCATGGTCATCCCACCCTTCTGCCATGTCTCGAACTGTGCAACTTTGCCATGTTTCTGGCATAACTCATGCAATGTAGTCACAGGTTGCTCATCTATTGTTTCTGCTGTGATAATTGGCTCAAAGAGCCACCTTGTAACCTGAACCATACAATACAAACATAATCATATAGTATATATACTAAGATTGCACAGATAAAATTCTGACCGTGACTGTAGGTAAAAGATTTCATACAAGACACGTGGAAGTAATATAAGAATAAGTTTTCATTAGAAATTACAAATATTTAGGAATATATTTTTGTGTGGATTACGTAAACTTTGAACAAACGACACTTTTGAACCAATTTTCAGGACATACGTGTTGCAAAATTACACTTTTAACAATTTCCTGTTCCAGCGAAGGGGCTCTAACCAACAAGACACAGGCTTGTAAGGGACAAATGGTCATTTTAAATAGCTGTTATGCCACATGGGCAAAGTGATTACTTGTCGTCATTAAAGTGACACACTGAGGACTAACATTCAAGGCCTCCTCTACTCCATCTTCTCCATGTTAAACAGAAGTCATACACTGATGTGTATAGCAAATGGTGGTTAAAAACAGCATGGTCCTTGGCTAGTGAGCATGGTTGTTTAGAGTCTATTGATTAGACCAAAAACTGATCACAAGTGTGGCTTTGCAATAGGTATGTCAGAGAATATATAGTTTTATCATCTTCATTCCAAATGTAGCTTTACTAAACAATGAAAAGGCACTCTATGCTGTAGTTTTTACTAATCTATTACTCCCTCCATTCCAAATTTAAGACGTTTTGGTATTTCTAATTACATAGATTTTTCTATGCATTTAGATATACATTTATGTCTAGATACATAGTAAAATCAATGCATCTAGAAAAGCCAAAACGTCTTATTGGAATGGAGGGAGTATTAGTCAAAGTTGTTTCTCAGTCTACATTAAAAGTCCAAAATGGCATATGTTTATTAATGGAATGAGTAATAAGCATAACTAATGAATAAAAAACCTTCCAAAGCTTCTCAAGGTCAAATTTGCAATCAACGTAGACAGCAGCAGCGATGGCCTCAACAATATCCGCAAGCACCTTGGGAGCTTTAACCACACTACCACCATAGGGTGCAGTGGCAAGGTCATGCATTACTTCTTGTTTCACTGATTCAATAAACTGGCCTACCTGCATATGGTATGGCCAGGAAAAACACAATCATCAAAACATTTGGTACAAAGAAAATATCAAGTCGAGATGAGATACAACATGACATTTAAAAAAAACAATGTATTTATTATGAACTTGAGTCAGAACTGAACAATGTACCAAGCTTATAGATAATTTATTTTGCCAAGAAAAAAAAAAGATCACAAAGCTTCAGAAAGATGGGAACTTAAAAAATTAAATTTCAGTGTATTGTTAAGAGAGTAAAGTACGTTTGATTTAATCTATTTCGTTGTATCTGGACTCATTCTTATTTCTACAGTTGTGTATGTTTAAGAGGTCGGAAACAAAGATGTCCAACTGTCCATATTTCACGTAGAAAACAGCAGGTCGAGCCAGGAAGTTTTGGTAAATAAAAAACAGTAAATGTGGACATATGTATTAAAATTCGTTAGAAACTTACTAGCTACTTCTGCACTTTTAAAATAATGACATTTGCTTGGTGCACAGCAGATGATAGGTAATAATGAAAGAATATGGCTTGAGCCCACTACTTCGACTTTTCTATCATGTCCTGAGCCTGACAGTACTTCAACTTTCCTATATATACACGATGAAACTTAAAAGCAACATTTGTGTCATTCAACAACATATAGTGATTCTTTTACAATCAGTATTCAGTAACAGCCAAAAACTAACAGCTCTTTGAAGGGAAAAACTGGGTGAGGCTACTCGATGGGAGACCATCAATTTTTTTATATTAATTTTCAAAACATATGTTTTTGATATATATTTATCAGTTGAAACCATTAGTCTGGAGTTCTATAGAAACACCCTCTGACAGGGGTGGACCCAGGCTTGGCCAGTAGGGCCGTGGCCCTAGTGGGCTAATTACACCATGTACTTCCTCTTAATTTTGGCCCACATATGAGGCCCAAGTCGGCCAACTAGGACAGAGGGCACGCAACAGCACAACATACACGCCTAGACAGGCGTCTTGTGTGTCGCAAACTCGCATTTACTTTCTATCATTCGCATGCTTGCTTGTTCGCCTAGCTGCTGATGGCCGACGTTGTGGCCCAATGGAGTCCCATCATCAGCTCTCCTTGTTGCCCCAGTAGTACTCAGCTCCATGCTACCTCGCGACTCACCCCTTCCCAAGGCATGACGGCGGCTGCATTGAAGCTTGCGGGACACGTCATGCCCCCAGGCGATGACAGTTGCGCCGAGCGCGGCACATCGAGCGACAGCAGCTGCACGCTGCGCCCCAGTCACCAGGTACTCTCTAGGCTCCAATCTCCGAAGGTGCTAGAGCCAGGCCTCAACTAGCGAATATGCAATTTGACGTTTTCTCTTCTCTTATTTCCCATCTAGAAAGGTTCATTTCAATTGGATTGGAGGTTGAATGACAATTAAATTTGTGCCCAATTTTATACAGAAATAAATCAGACTTTGAACATTCTAATCATGGATAGGAAATTAGAATCAAATTTACTCATGTCATATAATCAAAACAGAACCAACCTCATGAGTAATCGTCAGAAATTGAAGTTAGCAATGCTAATACCAAGCAAGAAGGTTCTGAACATGAACTTCTAGAAGAGATTATTGCTGATCCTGAACAAGAAACAATAGGAACATAGCAAGTAATGCTAGTCATGGTTTTGGAAACCAATTGTGGAAATGCATCCAAATGTTAGTGTTGATGGCTCAAGGGAGTTTATTTTGCTATAGTATTAGGTCCATACTAACCAAAATTTCATATACGTCTTATTTTTATCTAGTAAAAATGCTAGTCATGGTTTTAGAAACCAATTGTGGAAATGCATCCAAATGTTAGTGTTGATGCCTCAAGGGAGTTTATTTTGCTATAGTATTAGGTCCATACCAACCAAAATTTCATATACGTCTTATTTTTATCTAGTAAAAACATGGAGTTCAATTATTGTATCGATCGCAAATTTTTCCTTTACTATGCTATTTGTCGATGCATGAACCAGTATAGGAACTTCTTATACTTTGTTTTTGGCCATAGTCTTGGAGAAATGCTAGATCTGCCACTGCTCTCTGCTACATTACCCTTAGGGTATTCCATTTTTTGCACTGCCGGACTATGTAGAAACTAAGTTCAGAGCATCTAAGCAAACAACTAACAGTACAGTAGATTAGACCAACAGGGACTACAGTTATTAGGACATCTCTAATGGTCAGCTCTAATCTAATATTTTTTTTCTCGAACAACGTTGAAGAGCTGCATGTCATTTCATTAAGAAGAAGAAAGAACCAAAGGGCCAGCAGGAACCGGCCCAAGTACAAAAACTCAACCCCCACTCACACACCACCAACAGGTAGCAAACTCTTTACAGAAACAACAACAAAAACCCCGACCAACCTAGCCACAGATCTAAGCGGCCAAGGACAGCGACCCGGCAAGGAACTCTTGGAGTTTTGAAGCTCCTGCCATCTGCCAACCCCCATAAACCGCATTCATCAGCTATCACTTGGAGCAGATCTGGTATGCTAGGCCTGGCATGCTCAAAAACACAAGAGTTCCTGTGTTTCCAGGTTTCCCAAGCTACTAGAATAACTAGTGCTTGCCCCACTCAGAGGCTTGTCCTTTTTATGATCAAGAGGAAGAAACCATACAGCACATCCTTGTGGGCTGTCTTCACCAGGCAGGTTTGGTTTTCAATTCTCCAAGCCCTACATCTACCTGCTCTGGTGCCCTCAACATAAGACACCAAATTTTCGAGTTGGTGGAGGAAAGGTCTTCGGCTCATTCTAATCTAATATTAAGTACCACATAGAGGAGAGAGGCCAAAAACATTTTAAGCTAGCGTGAGAGAAAAGGCTAAGGTCTTTATATGCCCAATACATGAGATTTGGCTCACTGAAATTTGGTTGTTGCTGTTGCTGCTGATGCTGATGCTGATTTGTTGTGAGAGAAAAACATTGTTCCTTCACTGAAAAGTAGTGCTGATAAGTTCAAGCGAACAGGGCGATAACTCCTCTATCACTCGAGGGGAGAGAATATACTAATAAAAAATATCTTACATGTGAGAGGTACGAGATAATATCTAAGAGTCAGCACCAAACTCTTAAAGCACCTCAAACAGGAGCCCTCAAATCAAGGCCCCTATTTTTATTTGAGGGCTCTCCCTACTCTTAAGGGTCTAATTTTTTTTGGGTTTTTTGGATTCTTACCATTATAATTTTTGAAGTTTGGAGAAACACCATTACTATTCACCTATTTTGAAGCGTACCATTACAATTCTTTGTTTCCCACAAAAACGCGTATGGAGACAGACTTGGGCCCAGCTGCAGGCGTATACGACGACGTATATTTCATTGCAGCCCCTCTCCCCTATCACTGACGCACGGGCCCCACATGTCATCTTCTTCCTCTTCTCATCTTCCCTTACTGAGCCGCATCCACCGCCGTCGATGGAGAGCAGCAGCAGCACGTCGGCAAGGAGCTCCATGCCGGCTGGGAACCATGAGCTCGCCATCGACAGGGCCACGAGCAGCAGCAGCAGCAGCAGCTCACCATCGACGGGGCCACGAGCTCCACGCCGGTTGTAAGCTCCGCGCCGCCGCCCGGGTCGCGAGCTCCGCGCGCCGCCCAGACCGTGAGTTCCATGAGCATGCCCTGATCGTGAGATCCACGCCGCCATGTGCTCTGCGCGCCGCCCAGGCCGCGAGCTCCATGCGCCACCCGGGCCGCGAACTCGGTGCTCCGCTGGCCGCTCACCCGCGTGCTGCTGCTGCTCGCTCGGCGACGTGCTGCTGCTGCTGCTCGCCATCGACGGTGTCGGAGGCTGCTCAGCAAGGAAAGATGAGAAGAGAAGGAAGAAGATGACATGTGGGGCCAGTGCGTCAGTGATAGGGGAGAGGGGCTGCAATGAAATATACGTTATCCCATACGCCTGCAGCTAGGCCCAAATCGTCTCCATACGTATTCTGTGGCATTTTTGTCGAAAACGAAGAATTGTAATGATATACGCTTCAAAATAGACGAATAGTAATGGTGTTTCTCCGAACTTCGAAAATTATAATGGTATGAATACAAAAAAAAAACCAATTTTTTACATCTACTTCCAACAGGACCCTCAAATCAAGGCCCTCAAATCCATTCTAATATACACTGGCATATGAGACCCACTCGTCATTCGGCCACATCCACCGCCGCTCCAATCGACCAAGCTATGGGACACGAGAGAGGAGGGGAGGAGCACCAGAGACACACGGGAAGATCCAATCAACGGCACAGGGAGGGTAGCCACGGCGGCGTCGAGTGTGTCGTTGGGAGGAGAGGATCCGCATTGAATGGGCCTCACCGGGACGGGCACTGTCGAACCGGGGAGCCGCGACTGCTTCACCGGGGAAGCGCGCCGGAGGAGGGGGATAGGGCGGCGGCGCGGGAGAGAGTCAGGACAAAATATTTCCCGGCCAAAATTAGGGAGCTCCCTGCGCAACTGGCTGGGAGGGGAGATGAGGCTGAGGGGGGCATTTTCTTCTCTGGCACAAAAAAAAACAGAATATGACAAGACAGTGTTACCACGTATGTAACCCCTGACAAGTTAGAGTAGACTCATCCTCATAGCCAAGCCAACCGCACAAACACCAAATGGACCCTAGGAGATTCCAAAACGCTCAGAGATTCACACAGTTCTGGGGGGAGTCGATGACAGGTATGCTTACTAGTAGGTCGAGGCGGGCGCACTTGCGCCGGAGCAGCGGATAGAGGTCGTGCCGGACGGCGACGCGCGCGAGCTTCTCGGTAGAGATGTTGGCGGCGCGGAGCGTGGAGAGCGCGCCGGGCCCAAGGGTGGGGTTGGTGAGGTAGAGGAAGTTGGAGAAGGCTAGGCCGAGAGCGGCGTCCCCGACGAACTCGAGCCGCTGGTAAGAGAGCGCGCCATCCGAGAAGGATTGGTGGGTCAGCGCCTCCTCGAGAAGGGCGCGGTCGCAGAACTGGTACCGCAGGAGGCGCTCCACGCGCGCCACGGCATCGGCGCGGTCGGCGACGAAGCCCGGCAGCGAGAGCGCCACGGGCGGGGCTGGTGAGGCCGAGGGCGGAGGTGGAGCCGGATGGCCGCGCTTGCGGGGGTTTTGCGACGGCGTCATGGGAATCGGTGGGAGGGTGCCTATTTCGCTTTCGAGACCTGGAAGGGTTAGAATTTCGTTAGGTTTTGTAATTCGGAAGTGACACGGACAAAAAGACGGAATCTAGATGTGTTTGTCAGGTATCTAAAGAGTCCCTAATTTAATTCAGTCCTGTAAGAGACTTCTTAATTTTCTTGCTAAAACCATAGAGTTTTTTTTTTAAAAAAAAAATCATCTCTAACAGTTTTTAATAATTCACTCCTAAAATATAAAAGACAATTTTATATAAGGAATCATATACTATTTCTAAATTATCCTAACCACTTTTATATATTGTTTCTTTTATACATTTGCATCGGGAACACTTTCTGCTCTTTATTATTTCTCGCCCTTCCATCTTCATCTTTAGATTGGGCGAACCATACGCACATTTACGCGTGACCTAGAGTCCGTGTATCTTTACGCGTAAGGGAGAGTTTTTTTTCAAGTGCCAAAAGATTAGGAGGTGAGATTATGAATTGTTGGAGATAAATTTTTCATATCCTGCCAAAAATTTTAGATTGAGAGAGTGTTTTGGATATTGTTGAGGATGCTCTAGCTAGGAAGCGATACGGAAAAAAGGTCGAACCTAGATGCCTTTGGCAGGTATTTAAACAATCCCTATTTTCGAAGCGTATCTAAGACTATCTCCAACATGTGGCCCATATGGACATTGAAAGGATCAAGATACCCAGAGGGAGGTGAATTAGGCTAATTCTAATTTTTTTGTAATAATTAAATTCTACGGTTAGCCCAATTAACCCCCTGTATCTAGAAGTGTTTCTATTGATCTACCGCATAAAAGTTTAGCAACCTAAGTTCCAATCCTACTCTAGCATGGCAATTCTATGAATGTAAATGACAAGAATTGAATTGCTCAAAGTAAAGAGAGGAGGAACGCGCGATGTTTTGCCGAGGTATCGGAGAGTCGTCACTCCCCACTAGTCTTTGTTGGAGCACCCGTGTAAGGGTGTAGCTCCCCCTTGATCCACGTAAGGATCAAGTGCTCTCTACGGGTTGATTCTTTGACTCTCCGTCACGGTGAATCACCCACAACCAATCACAACTTGAGTTGGGTCATCCACAAGCTCTCCGGATGATCACCAAGCTCCCAATCACCACCAAGCTGTCTAGGTGATGGCGATCACCAAGAGTAACAAGCACGAACTCTCACTTGACCACGACAAACCTAATAAGGCCCTGTTTGGTTGAGCTGTGGCTGTGGGAAAAAGCTGCTGTGGGCTATGAGCTGTGGGCTGTGAGCTGTAGAAAAGCTGAAAGCTGTTTGTTTAAACAAGTATAAAATATACCTTTTATCTTTATCTCTCTTAAAACAACTATGGAAGAGCTTTTTATTCCACCAATTTCGAAAAGCAGAAAGCCAAAAGCCAAAAGCCAAAAGCCAAAAGCAGGGTCAACCCAGCTTTCAAAAATGAACTACGGAAAAGCAGCTGCTTCTGAAAAAGCACCCTCCAAAAGCAGCCCCTTTGGTTGGGCTTTTGGCTTTTGGGGCCAAAAGGCAAAGCCAAAAGCCCAACCAAACATGGCCTAAGAAGGGTGGATGAACACTTTGCTACTCTTGATCTCACTAATGAGGGCTCTCTTTGAGATTCTCAAATCTCAATCACCTCACTAGAATCTTGCTCTTCTTGACACTCTCGAAAGTATTTCTCAGCTGTTGGAATGAGCAAAAAGTACCCCCACACACGAATGGAGGTAGTATTTATAACACCGGCTGCAAAACGAACTGTTATGTGCTTCTGTGGGGTGACTGGACGCTCGGGTCATGTTGACTAGACGCTCCGGTCAGTTCACCCCGAACTCTAGTGTTTAAAGTGTGACCGGACGCTAGACAGCATCCGGTCAGCACTGACCGGACATGTCCGGTCATGATTTTCTCTCTCTGGAACCTTACTAGAGTCGATCGAACGCTGGCCCTCAGCATCCGGTCACTTCACCTCTCAGCGTCCGATTGCACCAGACGAAATCACCTTGGTCAAATGAACTAACCGAACTCTACGCCAGCGTCCGATCACACCGGAACCAGCGTCCGGTCAGTATTTGACCCTCCATTCACTTCTAACTCTCGATCATACGTGAATGAAGTTTGCTCCATTGAATCTAAGGGCTATTTTGGAGCTACCTAGTGCTAGTTTTAGCAAGTGTGCACCACACCTAACCTACTAGACTCCCATGGGTCAAGCTACCCGTCCATACCCCCTTAATAGTATAGCCAAAGGAAAAACAAAGTTCTAAACTATTCTAAGTGTCTCTTCAACACCAAACGACACTTAGAACTAGTCCATCCTTAACCTTGTCGTCCATCCTTTGAAAACCGAAACGAATTCCATCGTAGGGGCATGACCACCATGATTGCCCAGTCGATCTCCATTACCGTGACCTAACTTAATTGCTTCTACAAAACACACGTTAGCCACAGTAATCACATATTGTCATTAATCACCAAAACCCAACTAGGGGCCTAGATGCTTTCAATCTCCTCCTTTTTGGTGATTGATGACAATACCACCTCGAGTATGTGAAAGAGATGAGGTTTTTAACATGCTTGGATCATATAAGCTTTTGACAATAAGAACAAAAGAGTTAGACAAGCTTATATGACCCAAGTCAACATAATATACTCAAAAGATATGAAATAAGCATGAGTATAAGTAATAAAGCTCATTTGCATCGGAGTAAAACGTGGAAGCAAAAGCAAATGAACATAACACAAGTAATATGACATATAAATGATTCAAAGTAGAGAGCACACATGTCATATATCACGATCACGTAGATATCATTATCACATAAATATAGGTTGATGCATAAAAGTAAACACACGATGAATGCATAATAGTGTATCATACATAAAACTCCATATGTAATAGATAAGCTAATAGATAAACTAAGCTCCTCCTAGATATGTCGCTCCCTCTAAGTCTAACATACTCAATCTCTCTCCCCCTTTGGCGTCAAAGACCAAAACCTAAGGGTCGGTCGGCGGGGCTGCAACGGACGAGCCGGGCGCTGAGATACGAGGAGCGAGCTGGAACTGCGTGCCATCATCATCTGATCCTGAACTCTGAGCTGTATGACCCTCTGTAGCTTGAAGTGACGCTAAAGCGGTCTAGGTCGGATCAACGACTGGAGTTGTTGTAGACTATGCAGGTATAACTGTAGCAGCCTGCTCTGATGATGCCACTGAGGAAGGGAGCGTCTCTGTAGTCCCGGTAATAGATGCAACTGTAGAAGGACCTAGGACATGTAGATATGGCAGAGTAGGCTGCCCTGTTAACTCACTGAAGGAAGCACCAAGACTTCTGGACACTGTAGTCTCTAGCACTAGCAGCGAGAAAGTCTGAGCCGGTGTGAAGCCCGTCTAAAGAGGTGTGAACTGCAGGGCTAGCACTGGCAAGGCAAACCACTGGAACACCTGCTCTGTAGGTGAAGCAAACTGTGCTAGTGGCTATCCCTGACTCTGAAGCCCACTGGACTGTATAGCTGGAGTCATATAAGTGGTGGTAGTCTGACCAAGCTGGGGAGAAGGCTGTGGCAGTGGAGCCCTAATAGCTGTCACAACATGCTGCATAAACCCAAGTAGCTGCTGCTGCATGAGGAGCTGCTGCTGATGCATGGCCTGCTGCTGCTGCTGTAGCGCCTGTGTTTGTTGCTGCATAGCCAGTTGCTGTCGCTGGAACTCATCCTGCCAAGTCTGAAACTATGTAAAGGTAGCGGCTGTCTCCTGTGTCTGGCAAGCCTGATCCTGCCTCATCCGCTCAAGTATGGCAAGTAGAGCGGGGTCTATCTACGGTGCAGGTGGAGCTAAACTAGAGCTACAGGCCTCATGGTCATGTCGACGTGTAGGCATCTGAGGAATGTCCCGGTAGTCCTCATCTGAGCTATCATTGGGGTCGCTCTCGACCATCCCCTCCTGCTGAGCATCTAAATGCTCCTCAATAGCTGCTATGCCCCTGATAGTATCCTCCTGCTAGGCTGCAGTCTCTAGCACCTCTGGACGACGATGCGGCTGACTAGGTGCACTCGGTGTACTATGGCGGATCATCTGAGTCAGGTTGTATGTAGGGAACTCTATAGTAGCACCACTGTACTCAGCTAGCATCTCAGGCGGTCTCACTATAACTGCCCTGTGAATAAGAATTGTGATCCAGTGAGCATAGGGCAACTGACGGTGACCTCTGAACCCCTCAGCAATAGTATCCTCCATCTCTGATAGAAGGAAATCCCAAATGTCAAACACAGTCTGCTGCATCAGAGAGTTCAAAAGCCATAGCTATATGCGAGTCAAGCCCTCGCGATACCCCATCCTCGGAATTAGGGTCCTCCTCATAATAGCATCCAGCACTCTAGCTGTAGTAGTGAGATCACTGGGAGTCCTGCTTGACCCCTCGCCAAAAGGCTCCTTGAAGCAGTGCGCGGACTAGATCTGTAGGAGGTACCATACCACCATGAGGGCATTTGGGAGGCGTTGTCTATCCATAGCAAACCTCATGTAGCCTGACGGGCTGCTCCTAAAGCCTGAGAATCTCCCTAACCCCAGTGCTCATCAGCCTGTAATCTCTGCCTCTGAATGCAAAGTGAATATATCTGTGCTGCGGGTCAATCTAGAGAGTAGCATAGAACTGACGAACCCAAGATGGAACATATAAGCCTGTCCGTCCAAGTAAATCTGTCATTCCTGGTAGATATGCAAGGTAGGGGCGAATACGCTCTTCGGTTGCTGCAACTATAGACTCAATGTTGCACACCCTCTATGATCTGAATAGTGCCCCACTGTTAAGATATGCATTATAGAAGTCTTCCTGCAGTGGTGTGTAGAAGCCCTCTGATGCACGCTCATCCCGCCTCGGTGGAAACCACTAATCAAAGTCCACAAATTTGAGCTGTTGCACCTGCTTGGCCGTGGCGGCCCTCAGATCTAGATGTGTCACTAGAGGCGGACCCTGTGGTCTACGCAGTGG